GCCGGCAGTGGAGATCTTTTCATCTCTGCTGCTGGCACATGCAGAGCCAGCATTGCTGTAAGCCCTCTTGGGCTGGTGAGGAGATCAAAGATCTCCCTCACCGGTCCACTGGCACTTAAAACTTCCCAGGCCCTTCCCTCCCTCTCCTGGAACTGTGTTCATCCTGCAAACAGGCTGTTCGGAGCTTTGCTGCGCGTTACCATGGCAACGTTCCAATACAGTGCCTGCTTGCTGGAGGATAGGAGAGTCAGCTTGCAGCCGGAGCACCTGCAGGCTAAAGTGAACATGCCACCACTGGACCACCAGGGCTTGCAGCATTATGTCCCCTCTCCATGGTAAAAGAAAGAAGGGAGGGGGAGACATTAGGAAAGATTTTCACATCTCTCACCTACACACAGCATAGACCCTATGCGCCCTTCACACATATTATGCCCCTTACACAAGCACACTGCCCCCGCACACACACACTGCCACCCTCACACACACTGCCCCCTCTCACACACACTGCACCCTTCACACACTACACTCCCACACACACACACACTGCGCCCTTCACACACACTGCCCCCCTCACACACTGCACCTCTCTCTCTCTCTCACACACACACACACACACACACACACTACACCCATCACACACACACATAGAAAAAAGTAGAATAGAAAATAGAAAAAAAAAAAAAATAGAAACATACCTTTCTAAAAAAAGAAAATCGCACATGCGCTTTAAAATTTGTTACTGTGGCACTGGTGGGCGGTAAGGAAATGTTACCACCAACAAAGATACAAAAGTGGGCGGTAGGTATTAAAAGGTTGACTACCCCAAATTTAAACCAACCTATTGCTCTGCCTAGCAGTTCAAACATATAGCTCAATTGTTAGCTGTCAAAGTATACATATGTATAAAAGCAATATTCCTCCAGGTGGATTCAAAATCCAAAATGTTAATAGGACATCTCTTCATAAGCCATAACAGCCATAGATACAGAGAGATGGTGCAAAAAGAAAAAAAACAATGTGTTTTGTGTGTGTTACTTCAATTAGTTATAATTAGGAGAATTACTTTGGACCAGTATTTTAAACAAACAGTAAATAACAGTATTTTAAACAGTATTTTAGTCTTTATAGTCCAAAGCCTTTTACTAACATGTTTCCCAGACATCATTTTGTTGAATGCAACAAGGGATACAATTAAATAGGGGGATAAAAAAGTCCTACATTTCAACAATTATTATTTATATATAATATGAAACTATATTCAAGATAGAGCGGCCAGTCTGAAAAAATATGAAAACACATATCTAGTTATATCAGGCAATTATATTTATTTTCCCATCATTTTTTTATAAGTGATTTTCAAAGCTTATTAATTAGTTGGAAATACAGTTGGATATTTCAGTTCTCCTAAACACACAAACATTTTCCAGTGATTGTTTTGAAATTAAATAGCAGTCATAGGAAACTTTACAAAATAAAAATATTTTCCAGAAAATCCTTGTACTGTATTATTGCCTTGATTTAATATTGTTGGAAAAGATTTCCGAATGATTTAATATTTTTAGACTATTTTAATTTTTTTCAATATTTAGATTTTTTTTATATATTGATATATTGAAAAGCTTTTACAATTATTTATTTTTCTTTGATAAACATTTAAAATTATTTGATATTTTGAAAAATATTTTGATATTATAATATTTTAATATTTGTGTTTATATTGATATATTTTTATAGACAAAATATTTTTTTATATTTTAATATTTTGAAACTCATTATAAAATTTGAAAAGATTATGCAAAAATATTAAATCGGGGCTTATGGCAAAGCACATAACCTCACAACTTTCCTTTCTTGATATTAATTTTATCCAGTTTGAAATATTGTTCAAATATTTATATGTATAAAAGAGAAGGAAGAACGACTTAGCATATCATAGTAGTTATCTCTATATTAGCATGGAAAATGCAACACTAGCTAAGTTTGCACCCCCTTCTTTATATTTTTCTAACACTTAGAGAAAAGTAAAGGTGGGGGTGGGACAGAATAGTTGCTGTGATCTTCAACAGGGAGACTACAATTAAATTAAGGTACACAAAAGAAATTGCACGCTGTGATCAGTCAATTAGGTGCTTGGGAATCTAGGAAAAACTAATAAATGTCAAAGCCACTAGTCAAAGGGTAGAAGATGGACATTTATAGCATTAATAATAAATGGTTAGCATAGTCTTAAAGGGGAGCTGTAACTTCCCAAGATTTTTTAACACTATTTTTACTTATCTCTCTCTTTAACAAATATGTATTTGTAAAGTGTGAAAAAATAAACTTAAATGTAGAAATCCAGATCTCTTTATCCTAGACTGGACGCCTCCATCGTAGCCCCCTGTCAATCTTTGTTATACGCTCTGTCCTTTGTACATGACAGTCACTATAGAGAAAGCATGCAGCTAAAAGGAGGCATTAAACAATGTCTCTGCTTCCTCTTCATTTGCAATGTTTGCCCTGGCTTTGCCTCCTCTGAACTGAATAATTATGTCATTTGCCAAATCTTTGAAATGTCATGGATATAATGTTAAGTTATACGTGATTTTTACAATGTAAATTACAGAGAAGTGGTAGTACCCATTTAATGATGTAGTAAATATCCAGGTACAAGCAATCAGGGATAATCACAATAATGATGCAAATACAGCAGGTAGAATGTAACAAATGTTTTACTGACAGGAGGCAAATAATTCCTACGTACAAAGAGTTTATTTTGAAAGAAGCAATCTTTTTCTTTTTTTAAGAAAAATATCTAGAGGTTTACTAATAGTACAAATTAAAATATAGGAGGTGATCAGCGCTTAAAATAGATATACATACGTTACAGATATAGTTTCTAGTAAATAAATCTATGAATATAAAACAAGAGACAAATAATGGTGCTGTACAATAGGTGGTATTAGAAAGAGTATGCATGGGCAAATTGCACACTCAAACTTTATAGAGCTGTCTCAGCTCTAACCAGGAGGCCTGGATGGAATAATCCCCTGCTTATGGGTAAAAGTGTCTTTTGAGCTTGATATCAGAGTTGTAAAGACATCATATGGAAAAAGCACAAAGAAAATTCCAATGGTATGGTATATACAGACAAATGGTACAGATGGAGGAAAATATCCTACCCAGAGCAATGTCCTGCTCTGGTGTGAAGAGCGTGAGGTGGAACAATCCCCACCTAAGGATATATGAAGGAACTGGAAGGATAATGAGGGCTGTATGAAGGATGTACTCCACAGATAGGTATATAAAAATATTACTTTTTTATAAAAATGCTGGGAACAACAGCTATGTTAATAAAATTGAGTATAAGTATAAAAACAAACTGTGGGTAAGATAAGTCCTCACATGACGCATTTCGCCAGAGCTTTTTCAAAAGTGGATGATGTTCTGTTGAAGGACGGCTTTTTATATGTTTCTGGGTAGCTTTTAGCGAGTTCTGGTATTCATACAGCAATTTCCGGTTTACGGAAGGTTGGTGACGTAGGTTCCGGCTCCTGGGTTGTAGGTAATTGAACATCACAGGAAGTGATATATGGCGCAACTGTTCCCATGTCCGAGATTTTAGGATACAACCACAACATGTTAAGAAAAAACTTTTAGAGAAGGAATATGAGAGGAATGCCTTGGAAAGGGAAATAAGTTTAACTACTCAAGTAGAGAGGGATATTTTATCGTCTGTTAAACCTACCCAGCAAACCTCAAATGACACCTTTAAATCTGTGTTCATTACACAGTATAAAATGGACCATAGAAGGGTAATAAAGAGACTACATGATCAATGGTCTATTTTGTTACAGGACCGGGTCTTTGGAGCACATTTACCCGATCATACTACACTTATATATAGAAAGAATCGTAACCTAAAAAATATGTTGGCTCCCAGTTATGCGATTAAACCAGTTACTAAAAATACTATTGTGAATACGGGACTTTTTAGTCTTTGCAATTCCTGTAAAGCCTGCTCTACCATATCTACACGTAGAACCAATGTATTTTCTAGTTTAACAACAGGTGATACTTGTAAAATTAAATCTGAGATAGGATGCCACACGGACTTAGTAGTTTATTTACTGCAGTGTCCGTGTGGCAAACAGTACATTGGATGTACGAAGAGAATTCTCAAAGTCAGGGTCTTAGAACACATTAACAATATCAAGAAAGGTCTTATGACACATTCAGTCCCGGTTCATTGTAATGCCTGCCCCCATTTTTCTCTCAACAACCTTAAATGCATTGGTATTGAAAGAGTTTTGCCACATTGACGAGGTGGTGATAGATTGAAGAAGTTGGCTCAACCTGAGACATACTGGATCCACAAACTTCAAACACTAGAACCCAGGGGACTGAATGTGGCTATAGGTTTAATTTGCTTTTTATAATAGAGAATTATTTTTTGAGAATTACTTTTCTCCCATTTGATCTCTTTCTCCGCCTCTTTCATTTATACTCTCAGTGGATGTTTAGAATTGTAATATTATACTTTTACTGAAAATACAATGTTCCCCTTTAAATAAACATTATGGTATATCATAATAGTAGGGGTATTTAATATTATGTTGGTGTGAGGTTATGTCATGCAACAACTAAATAATATATAAGGATAGGTATGTGTGTTTTATAGATCCTATTAAATGGTTATATGGATTGTTATAAGAACATATATTTTCAATAATGTTACTTTTTATTTTATACTATTGATGCACTTGTCACTTTATAACATTATTTTTATTGGTTCACTTTAAATATCATTAGAAATATAATGGGTGAATAAAGATTGTTATAATTAATACGATCTTATATTTGATTATTTACTGTACCCTCTTTTTCAA